CGGGGGGGGGGGGCACAAAAAGGTGTAATTCTGGAGTATGCACTTGGTGTAATCTGGGGCCCAATGGTAGCATGATAATTTGGGAGTGGTTTCTTAAGGGTTTTGACCTGCTTGTGGACCTTTTTAATATGCAAGGTAAGTTTTGAAACTTTGGACTACTTGTTCTTGGCTTGTTTATTGCAGTTAATATCAGTTCAATGTTTTTTAGGAAGTTAGGCCACTGCTGTCATATCTATAGTAATTAAAGTAGAACTCCCAACATTTTTTTTTTTTTTTTTTTAAGTTAAAGGAGAACTATGAGGTGAGTGATTTTCACTCATCCTCATAGTTCGAGCCGACGCGTGACAATGAAACTGTCACAGGTCAGCTCAATAGATCGAAAAGTGAGCCAACACATACTGTCGCTCGCTCACTTCTCGATCATCTGCCTGCAGAGAGCCGTGACTGTCAGTCACCGCTCCCTGCAGGGATTCCCCCCCTCTCCGATCCTCCAGAGCTGACTGGCGGAACGGACGTGGGAAGGGGGCGGGTACAGCTGGCTCTGCCTGTAGATAGGCCGAGCCCGCTGTCACTCACGCAGCTGGGTGGATCTTGACAGTAATGTCGGGATCCGTCCCGGCTGCGGCGGTCTCAGTATACCGCGAGCTGTAGCTTGCGATATACTGAGCTTTGGGTCACGGGAGGACGCTAGTATATGTCCTCCCGTGACCCTTAGGAGAACTATGAGGAAAAACACTTACCCCCATAGTTCTCCTTTTAAAGTCGAAAAGAGTCAGAACCGTTTTTTCTTTCCAAACCAGGTAGTAGAACGAGCTTCCATGCTTTTACAGCAATAGATGGGTGCTTTGTATCATATCCTCTATCGTCCAAATCCTGACCCAGTCCAATAATATTAGCCCTGATGAAAGGCGACCTTCTGCATCCCAAACTACAATGGCTTCTACTATTATTTATCAAATACTTATGGATTATAACAGCTGCCTTCAGTTCTCTTTCCTGTGTTTTTGATGAGGGTTCATTTTGCTGTCTGTTCCATTTGGAAAGGTTCTTACCACGTTTCCCCGAAAGTAAGTCCTAGCGCTATCTTCAGGGATTTCTGTAATATAAGACCTACCCCGAAAATAAGACCTAGTTCGGTGGTAGGTCTTATATTAAAGAAATCCCTGATAGCGCTAGGTCTTATTTTCGGGGTAGCTGCACCATATAATTACATTTTACATGTCGCGGCCGCAGCTCCCTCCTGCACGCCCACCTGTCTGGCTCCCTGGACGGCATTAGAGCGGAGAGCGGCCACAGCTCCCCCCCGCCAGGCATACCCCCCCGCACGCCCACCTGTCT